GGGAAAAAAAATAGCTATTCAGAACTTGGGCAAAGAGTAGGACAGGAATAATGTTTGTTTTAAAGGGTATTGCTGATGACTTGAGAAATCTAGTGTTCTGTAAGAAATTAATGTTATGTTAATACATGTGTAGATTACATAACATGCGAAGAAAAGTTTGTCCCTTTCTGGGGGCCGTGCCCAGAACATAGGACGATGGGAGGGAGTGGCAGAGTTGTTAATACTTGCCTTGGATAGATATGCACTTGAAAGCTTTTTAGTGCTGACTTTGCTTGATTCTGGTGTGACTTGAAGAGTTGTATTGCATCTGCAAGAGATCAGAGTTAGAAAACAGCAGTAGAGCCATGAAGAAGACTTTGCACAGGTACTCTCTATTGACTGTGGGGACAAATGAGCTGACTTGTCAGGATATATGGCTGCTGTTACTCTAGTCCTTCAGTTTCCTGAGAATTGAGGAGGGTAAAAGGGCGAAGAAGGCAGGTTGGTATCGGCTATGATAAGTCATTCATGGGACAGGCAAAATTGGTGGAATGTGAGCCTGTCATCTTAATGAAATTGTGCGTCTCTATTCAGATTTGCAGTCTGCTTTTTTACAGCTGTAACACACTTTAGGCTTGCATGATGAAGGGCTAAGGCAGAGCTGAAGGGAATTACATTCTATCCTTAGTTTATTTTTAAATTTTTTAAAGCAAAGGAGTTACGTAGTCCTTAATGAGATGGTGTAACAGACTGTTCTGCACAAATACAACTAGCTGTACTCATCACAAGGGAATAGTCGAAAATTCAAGACATTAAGGTATAGGTTGTTTGATCCTGTGCTGCAAGTTAGTATGTAATGCCCATGTAAAAATCCTCCATACATATCCCAAAGTAACAGGTAGTGCCTAATTAGCTATGCCTAGATGATAGTATCTGATAGCAGATAGGAAATTAAAGTTGTAAAGAGCCCTGTAAAACGCCTTTCGTCCTCTAGCATTCGTCTTTCTAATTGGTGGCCAGCTAGCATTTTATCATGTGTTAGTAAGCCCTTGGAAGCAAGTTTCTTGAGATGCGGACTGAGTTTATTCTAGCAGTATTAGGTTTGGGTGTGCCATATTCTTCTGCTTGTGTTCCGCTCATCTCTGGGCTACCTGGATTGTGTTTCTGTTTTAATCACTCTCAGTGTATTTCTTTTTTCATGAATTTGCACAGTCTACCCTGGAACCCATGTAAACTTTTGGGTCTACAACATCCTATGGCAAATTCAGCTTGATTATAATTTGCGCAAAGAGCCACCTCCTTCTGTTAGTTTTGAACCTGCCATCAGCTAGTGTCTTTTGAGCCTTCATTCTTATATTGGGCAAGACGGTGAACAATCTCTATGCAACTTCTCCAAGCCATTCATTTTGTAGACCTTTGTCTTATTTTTTTCCCCTCTTTGCCTCCTTTCCAGAATGAAAAGGCCTGATCTATTCAGTTGCTGATTGTATGGAAGGTATTCCATACTTTTTTAATGTGCCTTTGTCAGAGCTCTTACTTTTACTTTACTCAGAAGTCTTTTGAGTTTAGGGGAGATGCAATCTTGAAGGGAAGAGACTAAACCTGCACTCGGTGCTTGAAATACAGGCACAAATTAGTCCTAGACACTGTCATAACAGTGTTCTGTTTATTTTTCTAACTATTTATTGATGAGTATGGAGCACTGAACCATCCAAATGACCTAAAGTAAATCGTCTTATATCCAGATCTTGTTGTGGGTGGCAATTATTATCTTAGAGCCTGTGATTCTATATGGCACCCACAATTTCCTCAAGCCTGCAGTCACACAGGCTTTGTTTTATATTAATCTATAAGCATTGCTTTTACTTATTGTACATCACAATCCTTCTCTAATTTTTGAGTTGGCCCTCATCTTCAGTGTCTGGTATAACTTTGTATTGTCAACAGTCTTCGTCATTTAACTACTTATCCCCTTTGTGAGGTAATCCATTAATATATCGAACAGCGTAAACCAATACAGATTTTCTGCAGGATTCCTGTGGTGGCCTTCTTCAGCTTGGGAACCGCTTAGACAGTTTTTGCATGGAGAAATAGCTAAGAAACAGTCATAAACTTTCCCTCTTACCACTTGGTCTCTTAGTTTCCTCAAGAGATTTAAGTGAGGGTCTTCTGGAAGCTTTTTGGAATGCCAGGTAGACTCTAACAATTTAGCTGTCCTTTATCCATGTTGTACTACTTCTATTCTCAATGAATTCCATTAATTTTGCAGGACAGGACTTGCCTTCACAACACACAGGTTGAATCTTTCCTAATATATTATTAATTTCTGTCCACTAATTCTATTCTTGATTACATTGTTTACTAATGTGTACGACAGATGTCAGTCTGGATCTTCCTTGAGGTTATCTTTAAATACTGACTGTATTTTCCACACGTGATTTCTTTAGGTGCTTTGTCAGTTCTAAGGGAGAGGTTCTGCACCTTGATTACCACCATAGCTATTTCATTACTTCTTATATGTTCACTGCTGCTTCTGCATTGTCAGAAACCTTCACAAAACTATGGAAACTCTAAACTGTGGGACAGTGAACATAGATGTAAGGATTTTGCTGCAGTTTTACTTCACTTCATCAGATGTTCGTTTATGTCTGATCATCTGTTGGCCTTTTGGGTTTCTGTTCCCAGACTTTAAAGAAAGAATTGATAGTTTTGTTGTCTTTCCCCATTTCAACTGGGAGGCTAGGGGATGTTATAGTCTTATATCAAATTTGTCAAAGTGTGTAGTTATCTTAATTTTTCTCTTGGGTACATTCAACTTTTGGTAGGGAACTTCCTTCTACGATAATCTGTCTCCAGTTCAGATATCTCCAGCTCAGGTATTTTGAGATGTTGTCTTAGGCTCTTTAGAGCCCAGTATTAAACACTGAGATATGCTAATTGAGTTTCCTTGGCAAGACATTTCTTTCTAGCCTTCTGATATTTTACACTCCTATTAAGTAAAAAGTGTTCTAGTTTAACAGTGCTGTCTTATGTTGGAGATCAGATTCTTGCTTACTGCTTAACGTGAAAGAGGATGGTGGTTTGAGATCACCTATTAAACAAGGAAGTAAGGAGAGATCACTGTTCCGCATGAAGAGTTGCACACTATCAGTGTGTCATGGGAGTAGTTCCAAACAGGAACAGAGATTATGGAGTTCTTTTAGCATCTCACGGGGTGTTTTTATGGGATTTAGCTCTGGTGGTTGTAGGTTGTCCTCCCTATTTTTCTGGAGTTTATTGCTTCTTCATCATTAGCCTGACTATAAGGCAGGATTTGTTTGGATTTTAGGGTTGTTGGGCTCTTCTTCAAAAGTTCAGTTGCTTGTGTTGTGCTCCAAGGCCAAATGTTAATGTACAGCCCATTTTGAGTCCAAATAATGGTTTTAACCAGTCTGATAAACAGAGAAGTTGTTTGTTCTTGTGGTTTCTTCTAAAATTCAGGAAAAAATACTTCTTTACTATTTAGTTATAAGCTTGGTAGCTAGAAGCCTCTCTTGTGGAGAGCTCACAGGGCGACAACTATTCTGTCACCATCCCATAGTATGCAGGAAAAGTCACGTTAATGAACCAGCTTTAAGCCAGCCTTGTATCTGTATATGGATCACCAATTGTAAAGGTCTTGCCCTACATGCTGCCATCTGCAATGCTTGCTGAAGTCGTCCGTCTGAGGGCTCCATGTTCCTGTCTTACAGGGTAAGGGTTTCTGTCAGTAAATCTTCCTTTTTTTGAGAGAGTTCTCAAATTAGATTCTTTAGTACTGATCCTGTTCTAAAGAAGACTGAAGCATTTGAAGAGTGGTATGTGGTTTTTTGCTTCCACTGTATCCTACAATGTGGAATTTAATATGCATTATGTGAAGAATACACCTTCTACTTTGTTTTGAGCCTGCCACCTGTTTATTTGTTGGCCTTCAGCTACTTTATTGTAAGATCTTCTGTGGCTAGTAAGCTGTTTTCCCATCTGGCTTTTTCGGTGCTCAATGTCTTAGTGTTTTAAATACCAAAGTTCTTAATGTGGGATAAATCTGCTATATAGAGGAAAAGGGATAGGACTGTTGGTACTAAAGGTGGAGGGGAGAGCTTGGGGCACTCGTGTTGGGACCAGAGTTCTGCCATTTAGGAGAAAAACAATAAAATTAAAGCAAATGGTTGGTTTTTAAAAGTAAGGTACGATGTCTTGCTAAAACACTTTAAGAATAGTGCTCTATGATGATGTAGTTTTTAATCCTGTCTCAAGCAATGGATTTGCTGAATCACTTGCAAAAAATGCAAAACTGTATGTACAACTGTCTCGATCTTGGTTTTGAGTCTTGTAGAAATCTTTGCATACTACAAGACAAGGTACTTCAAACATTTTCTTATTGGTTAACAGTGGAATAAAGAGGATTTTTTTAATGCGAAAAATAGTCAAAGTTATATGCTGAGAAAAATGGGTAGGGGTAGATTTCCCAATAAATTGAGGGGAGTTCTTTTACTTCAATTTATTTTTTTTTAACTTTGCTATTTTGATGAAGTTTGCTTTCTTCCTGAAAAACAGGGATTGTTTTTATTTAACTGCCTTTTCTCACTTGGAAACAGTTGTGGGACCAATTATTTTTCTCTAGGTGGCAGATGAAATTCACAGTGTGAGATGTGGAGGAAAGAGTCTCATAAATTGCTTTACTCCAATTTTTGTCTGAATGGCACCCTTCAGTGCAGGTGTACTAAGCTTGTCTGAAAACATGATCTCTGCCTCTGTTGGGGGGGGGCCTTGTTTTCATTCCCCCTTTTTTTTTTTAAACTAAATAAGAATTTTGAAGTGCTCATCAGCATGTTACTCATGATAAGGCATCCAGCTAACATTTGCTAAAGGATGATGTCTTGCAAGACGTTCCATCACATAAATAATTCAAGTAATTTAACTCTTTTAACTGGTTTTGCCAGCTGCAGTTGAAGAAAGCTGACTGATTTAGAAAATATAACTAAATATCTGTCTCTTGAAAACAGAGATTTGAGAGATTATGGCATCTGAAGCCCACAATGTTAAAAAACAGAAAGTATTGCGTATCGAAGGTCATCCCATTGATCTCCCCAGAAAAAGAATCTCTTCTTCCACTAAAAAGATCATGAAGGAGGTAAGCTGTTTGGTTGTTTTGGGGTATTTTGTCCTCTGATGAAACTGAAATAAACATTCAAACTAGTTCATAGTTCTGAGCAGTCTAAAACTAGAAGCACAGCACTGTTGAGCATTTCAGGTTTAGATGTGCAATAGATCTTTAGCTTGAACAGCAATTATATTATCAAAGATATATATTGTAATAGGCACAGGCAGTGACTGCACAGATACATGGATCATACCATTCACATGAGCAGTACATACTGATACAGTTTTGCTACTGCCTAATTTTCTGCAGTCTAGCCAAGAACTGTTTTAGTAGAGGAATTCTATCATCAAAAAGTTCTCTTGCCAAGAGAGCTACATGGCACAAGTGAGAGGTGGGGTAGGTGAAATACCTGCATTGAAATGGACCTGTCATCTTGTCGTACAGCTTGATCTACCACACTGTCTAGTAACACATACGTTGCTTTCACTGGATTCTTGCTAGTTAGAAACATTTTCTCATAATCCCTTACCTGTGTTACTGGCTGAAGAGTAAGGCAGTGGAGGTAAACTTACTGTGACACCATCACTTCAAACAGTGGTGAAGATGCAAATATCCTCTGTTTGCTTATTTAAATTGTGTATTAAAGCCCATATGATTTTATGTCTCAGTGTTAACAAAAAAAATCTTAGCATGGTTTTGCTGATGCAATGTAAATGTTAAGTGGTATAAATTTTCAAGTTGAAATGCCTGCAGTATATGAGCATAGTACCTGTTTATATGAAAATAACATATTTCTAACTTGAACATCTTAGTATTTTATTTTTAATAATTTGTTTACTAATGAAAAACAGTAGACCAGAATGTCACAACTGAACTAATTTTCATTACATGAAGCTCTAAAACATTGAAGACTACTGTATAAAAAAAAGTTTTTAGAATTTCATCTTCAGTTTGTGTTGCTTAATTTTCAAAGGCTTTACTAATCTGTGTGGCACAACCTTGAATGAATTTTGTGATTCCTGTAGGATATCACAGGATATGCAGCCTAATTGGTGTTAGGGTGCTAATCTGTTTCATATGAATGAATTCAGGATAATCAAGCTGGTGTTGTCTACATCAGTCTTGGTTGTTTTGTTTTGTTGCTGTGCTTTGGTGGGGAAATGTTCTGCTATCGTCCTTCCCAAAACTAGCATCTTCTGTATTATCATCCTTTAAATGTATGTGAGAGACACGTAATGCAATTTTGCCATCAGTTTGTGGTAGGCTTTTTATATTAGTCAGTTTTTACTTTGCTAGTAACTAAAGAATCTGTCTCTGATGTCACAATCCCGCCTCTTGCCAAAGATACCCCGAGCCTACAGCTGACTATGGTGCTCCAAGGACAGCTATGTCAGAGCTAGTCTGTCTGTAGGTCACTGAAATACTTTAAGATTATAGGAAGGTTAATGTAGCTGTGCTTTAGTTACAGAATTGGAAGAGTGAGAGGAAGGAAAGGAATCTGTGGTAAACCTGGGTCATGGTAAAGCAGAACTTCTTTTTGACAAATTGTGGGAGTGCTTGAGCCTTCTTAGTAATAAAGCTTTTTCATTCTCTGTTCCCTTTCTCCTAGGGTAAGAAATCTCCAAAACAGCTGGCTTCATATACAAACAGGTAGGAGAGCTGTGCTCTTCAGAGTGTGAGTTTCAAGTTGAGAGGGAGGCAGGGAGGAAGAAGTGGTTTAAATCCATTTGTGCCTGCTTGGGTGTTGTAGAAGATAGGTTTTAATTTTACTGACAGTACTTGGTTCTTGTGTCCACTTCCGTAATAATGTGTCTCTGCATTAATAAAAGCAGGAGGAGAATATTGGTGGTAGCTTTTGCTTCCAATAACTCAAATGTCATGAAAGCATATCTCGGGGATAAAATGTTTTAAGTAACCTGCAAGTTGACTGCTGTAATGATATGTTTTAACTTAACGCAAAGTATTTCTTGGGTGTAAGCAACCTTCACTAAAATACTGCTTATTTATTGCAGAATAACAGTCGGAAAAACGGTGACCAGTCCCCTCTCTCTTTTCAAAGTAGTGTACTGTAAAAGAAAAGTTCATTGTTATACTCCAAAGCCTTGTTACAGAAAGAAACAGTTCCCTAAATCTAGGGGCTGTGACATGGCAAATAAAGAAAATGAACTGGCTTGTGCAGGGAATCTGCCAGCAAAACTGCGCAACGACAGTCGTACACATTTGCTGAATTCTAGTGACTCTGGCTCATCTCAAACAGAAGGCCCCTCATCCAAATATAGTGGATTTTTTTCAGAGGTAAGTAGAGTTTAAAGAAACCTTAGTTTCAGATAGAAGTATTCCTGGTAGTTTCTTTGTGTGGCTAGCTGTGAAAGTTGTCAAAGAGGTTAATTTTCTTAACATATAGATTGGCTCAGGTCTTGGGATTTACAGTCTTTATCTGTGAGTCTACAGTAGTAAGACCACAGTAGTAGTCCTGCCAGTTTTCCCCATGTTTGTGTCAGCAAAGAAGCTCAGATCAGCCAGGCTCGTCTGGGTTAAAATTGTACCAGTACCAAAGGAAACCATTGTTTTGACCTGGTTAGGTTTCGTGATCTGGCATGACAGCTGGTCACATGTATGTTTATGGAAGTGTGGAAGTGTTAGTGTATGGATGGGAATGAGCTGGTGAGGTAGGATAGGACTATTTTCAATACCTGTATCAGCTTAGTGTGTATGAAACTAACTTACTTGTTTGTCTAAGACTGTATTTCTTGTTAAGATTTCTTGATGGAAACCCAGTGAATGCTTGCAGGGCTTCTGAAACTGGCTAAAAGGTCAAATATTTAAATGAACCAGGTTTTGTGATAGTGAAGGCCATTTAAGTCCTTTAATGTTGAAGTTTCCATTTCTGTCACTGTAGATGCTTGTTAACTGTTGAGGCTTGCAGGTGTTTAAAGTGAGGCATGGCAGGGAAGATAAGATTCAAGACTATCACCATGCTGTCTCTTTCATGGTACTGTAAGTGTGGGCTGCCATGAAGAGAGAGCCCTGAGAGTCCAGTAGCCTGGAGGTACAAGTCTGTGACACTCTTGTACTCCACTGAATTTGGTTGTTTCAAGGAAGGAGTGGCAGAATAGCTAGAATAAAGAGGTTGTGGAAAGAAGGGTAAAGAAGTGAAGACTGGGAAAGATTCTGGTAAACCAAAAACCAGATCACTGGCCACAGGTAGCTGTTTAACTGGTTTGAGAGATGTGAGTGGCTCTGCAGTGTTCATTCCAATCCAAGATTTTAATAAAATACCTAAACTTCATTCTGAGAACAAGGTTTTTCAGAAATCAACTTTTTCTGTCAAAGTTCAGAAAATACATGTAACTACGTGTGTCTAAATTGTTGAAGTTCTCAAAATAATCATCGAAGTAAAAAGTTCTCAGAGTTGGTGAGAATTATAGGTTGATGCTCATGAATGCTCTCTTTAATTATTAGATACCTTTCTTTAGGTGTCTACAGATCTTATTCTTGTAGCTGTTTGGTAAAGTAGTCTTAATCTGTTTGTGCCCCCTTCTAAGGGAAATGTCTGTTTAAGGCCATGGTTAGCTAAATTTCTAAAACAAACTCATCGGCATACAGGTAGGAGGGTATATTTTTGTATACTAAATTACTGTATTACAGCAGCTTATTGTGGTGTTACTGGCTACTTGTGGTAAATTTGTTTTATATTTTCAAAAATATACAGGTTTCTCAGGATCATGAAACTATGGCTCAAGTTCTTTTCAGCAGGAATCTGAGGCTGAACGTAGCTTTAACCTTTTGGAGAAGGAGAAGTATAAGTGAACTGGTAGCCTACTTAGTGAGGTAAACTGAGTGTCTCTTCTTTTGTATTCTTAAAGTGGTTAGCAATCCCAAATATGCTGCAGAATTTTTAGGGGTTCCTTAAATGTTATCATTTCGTTATTCTTTAAACCATAGTGGAAGCATGTGACGTCAACCTATGCTCTACTAGTAACATTTATTATTTTATTGTTAATGTTTCTAGGATACAGGATCTTGGAGTGGTAGTAGACTGCCTTCCTGTGCTTACAAACAGGTACAAATGAAAAGAAGTGGGGGATAAGAATCTGCTATAACAACGCTGAAGTTCAAGCACTTCTGAAACGTCTTGTATTTTAAGTTTACAGGAAGAAAAACCATATATTTCAGTTGGCTGCTGTGTAGATCTTTTGCCTTTAGTGAAATCACTGCTTAAAAGCAAATATGAAGAGTAAGTATTAATTTCAGATGTTTTCAAAACACTGTTACTTCCTGGCTATGCAATTAATGGAAATTAATGGTGTTTTTGCTTCTCTGACTCTTGTTCCCTCTGCCCCTTCCCCCAACCCTGCCTTTCTCGGGGAACACCTACATGAAGGGGAACTTGCCTGTGAACCTTCCTCCTTTAGCAAACCAGCAGTGCAAAAACTTTTCTGCAAGGTTAAGGACCAGGGGGGACTGGCTTTGCCCTTATGCAGATTTATTTATCCTAAACCGTAAAACAGAATAGCACCAAGATTTTAGTATGTTTTATAACATCAAATCAAAGCAAAGTTTTTGGGAAAAATAGCTGAATAATTTCTACTTTTTCAACAAGAGCTTCAGTTTATCACTTCAAATAGTTGCCAATGTTTTCAATTTTAAACTTATCCACTTGTCTAGTTTTTTCTCCTAGAATAGAAAACATGCTGCTTTCTCAAGTTGCTTACCAATTTGTCTTGATGCTTTCACTGACCTGTAGATACTGGAGGGAGGGGAAAAAGAAGCATAATGTGTAAAATATGTTGTTGCAGATATGTGATAGTTGGTTTAAACTGGCTTCAGGCTGTCATTAAAAGATGGTGGTCAGAACTATCTGCACATACAGAAAAGGCAGAGGACAGGTGAGTATACTATTGGGAAATATTTAAATATGTTTCTGAGGCTTACTCCATCTCAATCTGTTTTAACTTTGATCAGTAGGAGCACACCTTGTCTACGAGAGAAAAAATACACTCATAATTTGAAACCAAAGCTTAAAAGTACTTAGAAGTTTTTCAGTTCTCAAGATAGGTGGTGTTTGGAAACTTAACTCTAAGGATTGTCATGGTTTTAGTTGTTTTTACTGGAGTTTTAATACATGTAGAACATAGTCATATTGAGGTTATACAAATGCTGTAGAAGTTGCATCAAAATTTTTCTGATGTTGTGGCAATATCACTAGGACTATATGGAGACCAAGTCTATATGCAGTATTAATCATGTGTTTCAGTCAGTCTACTGAAATGTAGTATATATGTTATAAAGTAGTGTTCATTCTTTTCCAGAAATATTCATATTTTAAAACAACAATTAAGTGGATTATGGGAACAGGAGAATCATCTTACTCTGGTTCCAGGATATACTGGTAATATAGCTAAGGTAAATGCAGTTCCAGTTGTGTTTAGTAATGAACGTAGCTGTATCACTTGCAGTATTCCTCTCATTTGATGTTATTTATGCTAAACTATTGATGGACAGAAACACCTTTACTTTATTTGCCACTAATGCTCAAGTGTATTACACAATTTTTACAGAAGTCTGAAGTGTATTCCTATGGTAGTAGTAGTATGGTTCAGAATGATAACTGAATTTTTTTATCCTTTTTTCTTTCTTTACAGAGAAAGCATCTCCTTAATATAGCTAATAGTAATAAGCTTCAAAATTGATGTAAAAAAAGCCCCAGATGAGTAGGTAGTCTGTGAAAGGACAGATGTTTTCTCTGAAATCTACTGTACCCATTGTTGTATGTGTAATGCAGCATGGAGAATCTTAGCCCAGCAATGTTGTTAGCATTTGCACATCAGGTGACTGGGGCAAGTGACAATATAATAAATTCTAAAGCTTATTGCTGACCTAATGCTTCGAAAATTATGAGTTTGTAGAGAGTAGAAGAGTGTCTCAATCTGAAGTGAATCCCTGTTTGCCTTTCTCGGTATGTTATGGTATCAGTAATATGATGAGGGTGTGTGGTAAAAGCATGATTTGCTGCTAGTGATACTCATCTCTATAAACGTGGCATTCTGAGGTTGGGCACTAAGAGTTACACTGAGGAAGAAACCTCTCCACATGGCAGGACCTGATGAAGGTAGACAGTGAGAAAGGACTTAAAGCAGACACTTGGTTATATGAAGGATTTGAGTGAACTTGTAAAGAACTTGGAGATTGCATGTTTTACTTATATCTGAAGGAGCTTTGTGGAATCTATAATTCTGTTGCTACAGAATTTGTCACGTTGATCTATCAAACACGTAAGTTATTTCATATTCTTCTGGGACTGCTATGCACCTCTGACTTCACTGTTCATGTCGCTACAAGGATAATTACAAACTTCTTGCAGAGTTTCAGTCAGGAGGGATGCAGAAGATCTGAGTTCTAACTCCCAGCTGGTAGAGCAATGGGAGCTTGTAATATAGACTGTCTAGTTCTGGTAGATCAACATGGCAGTTATAGCCAGTGTCAGTTTGTTTCTCCAGGATTCAGGTTTCATTTCTGTTCATTTGCCCACTTAATGTATATCAGGATAGATTGTGACCAGGGCCACCTGAACAAGTCAGGAGCAAAAAGGGTCGTACAAGAATGTTGGAGGGATGGGGTGAGGGAATATCACTCTTAATAAACATGTTTCAAATAGATGATCTTATTACAATGATTTTTTTCCTGTGCATGCAGGGAGATGAGGAAAAACAAACTGAATAAATTGATGGCTTTGGAAACGAGTCCCCCTCTTCTTGCAGGCTTTTTAGTACACAAAGAAATGCCATTGAGAGCATTAATTGAAAGTAATCTTCAAGATAACTTGTTCTGAAATTTGGCTTGAACATAATTATTCTTGTATTATGGTTCTGATTGTTTACCCTGACTCAGACACACAGTTAATGTTACAGCTACAAGTAATGTGACAAAAACTTTCTCCTTTTTTTTTCTTATAGGATGTAAATGCTTATTTATTACAGCTACACTGACATGATTGGGAAACTATGTGTGCTTACGTGGTGAAACAATCCCCTAAAGTATCCCTGAAATACGTACTATTTCTGAAAGCCTTTTGAGAAATACTGGCAGAAGAGAACTGAACTGTCAAGCTGTTTAATGAAACCACTAACAAAATCCTAACAATCTACTTCACATTGAAGTGGAAACATGTCTAGTAGGAGCAACTTTTACTTCAGTGAGGTGAAAGTGCACTACGAAAACTGTATGCCTTTGCTGCATTTGGGATTCACTCAGTTACTAGGTATTCATTTAAATACTACTGTATTTTACTACAACATCGCATAAAAGAAGATTAATTATCCTGTCATGAAAACAAGGCAGTGGAACCAGTTATAAGGAACCAACAAAAGGAATCAGCATTACGAGCTTTTAAGTGTTTCTTCCACAAGAGAACTCCAAAATGCACAACTATCTTCCAATTACATTAAAAAAACACTTTGGAATATTTACTTCCACGTTTTAATCAAATTAAAGACAATTTTTGTTTGCACTATTGAGAAACTATACAGCAAAAATGCCTTAATTACTAGTGTTTCAAAAAGCCAATGTGTTAAGATGCAAATAGCTATTATGTTCAGATTGTGATGAAAAACTACAAAAATCAGGGTTTCACATTGTATAGTTAATGAAACATTGCACGTATACAAAAAAATCATGTATGAAAAATACTATAAATACCTGAAGTTAAGCTTGGATAAGCAGTTATTGCAAATGTCAGCAGAATGGTGAATTTATGTCTAACAAATGTTTTTATATTGTATGTGGATTTCTAACACAGTTACCTTGTTCTGTATCATTTAAACTACATTCAAATAAGTAAATGTATTACATGTATCTACTGTTTTTCTTTTCAAGTTCATAAAACAATTTATAGAATAATCTCTTCCACAGTACTTTTTATCATAGATATTTATGTCTATTGTTTGAAATGTTTACAGCCAGATGAGGCCATGTTGTTCAAATCGCACCCTTTTTATACTACCTCCTTTAAGAAACTGAGAAAGAGCTTTTGCAAAATTAATCAAGTTCTAGCTTGATCAATGATGGCAAATTAATACCAACAATAGCAGTGAAAAAAGCTATAAACTCTTGCTGTTCTGTTGCTATCCTGTACTATTTTAATTTAAAAGCTATAGTTTAATAGCTCTGAGGGAGTTTTGATTTTAGACTTGCGATTGCCTTCTTTATTTTGTGATTAGAAAGTGTGCTTTTCCAATTAAAACTTATGAAGTGCCAGCTGTTCACTTACATTCTGCGCCTATATATTTATGTTTTATCACCAAATAGTCTACTTCCTTTAAAAAACTAAGTACTTACAAGGGTTGTTTTCATACCTAGCATTAAGCATATGCACTTTTATTGACGTGCAGGAGAAAAGTCTTTTGATAGCCCCAAGTGTTTTGCTTTACAGATGAAATAAATGAATTTTGAACTCTTGTAGTGGTCAACAGCTTTAGGCCTCCTGTTGCTTTTGTATTTAATTTACATATCATTATTGCTGACTTCTGAAGGCCAACTAGAAATCTGTCATCAGAACTTGGTGCTTTTGGTTATGTGAATATTCTTTAAACCACCAAAGGTTTTGTGCTTCCCAGGGCAGTCAGCTACAGGGAAGAGTTTCTGGGACATCCTAGAACTGAGAACTCTGTAGGACAATCTCGAGATATGCACATAGCCAAATTCTTTTTGCTAGAATTGTTGTGTACCATTAGAGATATTTCACACTCAAAAGAGTTTGAGATAGAACTTACTACTTTTCAAATGTTCTTGTTGTCAATTAAAAATTTAAAGGAACTACAGTATGATGATGTTCTGTTCTTACTTTACTTTTCTGTTGAGCACTTAAACGTAAAAGTAACATAAAGACTAGCTTCATAATTAGGGCAGCAATTGCTGAAATTCTTGGATTATTCCTCAAGGAGAACACTGTAAAGGTGATTGAAACTCGGATCTTAATTTCTCCTGTTTTTTTTAATAGGCAAAATGAAGTAACTCATGACTATTTATTTCTGATAATACAAGAAGTAATCATTGTAATTGATTAAAGTGAAATACTGTAGTATTCAAAAATCCAGATTGACTGTAGATGTAAGTACATGGGTTTATAATGAATTCTGCATGTGGCCATGGATCTACCAAATCATAACGGTGGATGGTGCTTTTCTTCTAGTTGCAAGGTAAGGTTGACTTGAGGATAGTTATTGATTTAGTTATTTATTATTATAAAATAATGCATTACTTTTAACTGCCAAATTTGTATTTCGACAGCATCAATAATATACAGTATTATACATTAAGTCATTAGTATCTGTGCCTTATTTTACCTTTTTTTACTGTTTTCAGGCAGCTACTAGACTGTAAGAACAGGATTCTGGTCTCTCCATTATGAAATGATTTTTCTGTCATGATCTTAAAGAACTCATTGAAACTATTCATGCTGACTTTCAGGCTCAGCTTGTTGTGTGCTCTTCAGTTCTCAAATGGCTAGGAATCAATCTTGTAACAGAATGTATATGTATGATAGCTGCTCAAAAGTGACATAAGTAAAATATCTTAACAGCTGTGTAATGCCATGAAATTCATGTAGTTGTCTCAGTGAAGTGCACAAATGCTAGTCTCTGTGATACTTCCTGAAAATGCTGTTTCTAGGATGTGTGAAAAGATCTAGGCAGAGTTAATCCTTTATCATGTATATTCTTATGGTGCAGAAGCATGTATGTACTTGAAGATGAAGGATGCCTCTGCAAAGCTGTTCTTCATGTTATACTACTTGATATGAAAGTATGAAAGTATTGTCTTTGAAAAACAGTATGTCTTTTGCCTCGGTGTTCCCAGAGAGTACTTGAGGCTGTTTTGCTGAAAGGGTTTTTATTTGAAGTGTGAACTAGGACTTACCCACCCCCTAAACTGAAACTGAAGAAGCCTTCTGGCAAACTGCTTCTTTCTGCAGAGCTAAAAAACCCCACCAATATTCTGTTAATGTAAGAATCAAAGTTTAGGTATTTTGTTGATACTTGCTGAAGGGTGGAGACAGAAAGAGCTACCCCATTAATTAGCTGGGTGCAAAGAAGCTAGCATGTCTTAATGATTATGTAGAGCTCCATTTTGAAGGAGTTTCACCTCTTTACTAAGAAAGAGAAAGAGTACTGTGCAGTGGAACACCTTTGTATCGCACAGGTACTGCAGTTCCAGGCTACTTTAAAATGCTTACAGATTGTTACTGGTATTAAAAAAAAAATATATATATATATATATTAGCATCAGCCCTCCAGGAGCTTGTCTTCTGCAGAGAGATATAATTAAAATAATCTTTCCCTCTCTGTAGGCTGCCTTCTTGTTATCAGAGGCTGCAGTTTTAACATTTAGGGGTGGCAGGAGGGATGGGGGAATAGGAAAGGACAAAAAAAAAGTACTCATGGCCTATGCTGAGTGACATCAGCCTGACTGCATTATACCACATGTATCAAAGCAGGCTGTATTTTCCTTTTCTGGTATCTGAAGTAGGCAAGTTTGGAATTACAGGTATTACATTTCCCTTTGAAGAGAGAAAAGTTTGGAAGACTGATGCTACAGTGCTGATTTGTGGTGTGTTTTGTTTTGTTTTGTTTCTTGAAAGGGTGGACATTTTTGTGTGAAGAGCCTTGAAAGTATCTTGGGCAAAGCTTACATTTTGAAACCAGCAAGTTGTTGTATTTGCCAGTTCATCTTGCCAAATCTTCCAGTTTTACAGAAGACTGACTGTCTGTCTTATTGTGGAGATTTGCAGCTATCTTTTGTGCCCAGCTTTTTGGTACAAAGGGAAACAGGTGGTTCATAGTCAACTATTTTAGAATACAAAACCATGCAAATCATGTTTCTGGTGTGAAGTTATTCCAACTTTTGTACGATGCAAATTCTCATGAAAGCAGTTGGTTCTTGTGTGAGGAACTTTATATTGGACTGATGCTGCATTAGAGAAGGAAAATAAATGAAGCAGTTTATTAATAGCCTTGGTAAAAGCGAGACAGTGTAGTTTAATTTTTGTCTTCAGTCCACCTTCCTACACACATTAATCATTATAGACTACAGATAAAGATTCACTGGGAGAACAGATTGAGCATGCTTATGTTGTTAGTGCTTATATTATACTTCATTAAACAATTTATTTTTATTCTATGTTAGTTAAATGACTTGTTTGCTGTCTTAGAATCAGACTAAGTGCAAGTATTTATTTTCTCTCCCCTCCCCCCTCATTCTTCAGCACTTAGTGATGTTATTTCTTCCTCTTCTAGTTTAAATATACTGTGAGTATCTATTGTTAGAAGTGAGCAGGGGAGGATGAAAATTCTAGGTGAAACACAGGGCTTGCTATTTAACACTATTCATTTTGAAGCAGTTGTGAAACTGCTTTTTTCCTCTAGATTTTTCCCTCTGAATCTTTTCACACATTTTGTTAATACCTATTAATTGAAGTGGGCACTCATGGCTGCAAGTTTGAGTTTGAACTTGGTTGAAAAAAATAAAGTGTTTTCACTCTAACTATAGCTGCAGTTTTTTTTTTTCATTGAGTACTACATTAGTCTCTGATACTAACCTGCTGTATGGGAGGCAGGAGGTGTAGCACTGTCCCTTAATGGGATAGTATAGAAATAGTCACACAGACTTCAACTGTTGCAGACCTATAATATTTTTATCTCTTTATGTAGATTGTAGCTGATGATCATATTGCTATAAAATGAGATCTGCCACTTTCAGGTTGAATGTGGTACCTAATTGTTTCTGATACATACAGAGCACTGCTTCAAGTCAGTCAATCATTACTTGAGCGCTATAGTATAGATGAACAACTAACTGTTGGGGCCCGAACATCTGTGCTTTGCTGTAACAAAATATAAGGACACCATGTTAACATTTTCTACCTCTTCCCCCCGCCCCCCTTCCCTCCCTTTTCCTTATTGCTTAATTTCAGTTCCTAAAGCCATTTGAATTCCCTTTGGGAAGTGATAGCTTCCAAAACACATGGTAAAAAATGCTTTTACAAATACACTTGTGACTTGCTTTAATACAAATCTGTAAATAATAGTGTTCTGTAAATTTGGGAAGGAGGGAGTTTTCAATGTGCATAGGCTTGAAAGAAACAGAACTAGTGGATTTTAACTGAGATTGCAACCATTTCCTCGATTATTTTTTTTATTTGGTAAGCACTATGTATTGTGAAACAACTAAAATAAATCTAAATATCAAGATAATGTTACATTCCAACTGCCTGCTTTTGTGGGTGTAAGCACAAGTAAGTTTTGTAAGTGTTGGAATACATACACACCCTAGCATCATGCTTTCAAGTGACCTGCAGACAGTTTCAAATAGCTCTTGTAATTTAGGTTGATGGCTCCTTTTCAAGTTGTATTTGATCTACTGAGCTTCATTTTCAAAAAGCCTGAATTATGTTTGGATCTTGCAGTTGCCAATCTCACTCTTCTTTCAATCCATGGAATATCTAAAACAATCAGATAGTATAATAAGCATTCCAGCTTCAGAAAAATAGCCGGTGGTCTTGTCTTTTGTGACAAGAGGCTTTCATTACACCGCTCTTCTGCATGAGACAAACTTGTTTTCTGCCAGAGTTAGTTAAATCATTTTTAGAGACTCTATTTTGGAGGAGGATTGCCACATCCAAGAAGGCTGTAGCATGTTTGGTTCTAAACGGAGAAGTTGTACACACAGAGTCAGCTGTTAGGAGAAGGCATATTTCATTACTGTTGAGTTGTCTTATATGCGAATCAGCTGTGCTACTAGGTACTTAGTCTGGATAAAAGTGGAATGATGGATTATTGGGGAGTTGAAGTCTTAGCATTTTTGGGTACTTACAGCGAAGAGTTGTTATTTTCATGCTGACAATACTGCTACAATGAATCAAGAAAGGAACTATTTGTTGTGTGCTTGGTTTGGAGAGCAGGAATCTCTTACTTCTTTCTACTTCTGCTAATAGTATTTTGTCTTGAAGCTAAAAGGTGTAGACATTTATGTGTGTGTTTGAAATAACAAGTTCCTGACTGAAAAGGAAAAAAACCCATGCTGCATTAGTTCATTTCTGGATGACTGTACCACCCCATGTTCCAGCTGCAGAAAAAAGTAAATAAAATTACAAAAATATAACCAACTATCACTGTACAAGTAGTGATAAAACTTTCTCAATGTTGTGAGATTCTGGCTATTGTTAGTGAAATAATAAAGCAAAGCACAACTAAAGAATAACTGGCAGG